GGGGGGGGGTTCATCGTTTGGGGCCTACATCGAGAATTGCTACAGACTAGCTCATCACTTAACTTCCGTGTCTGTTACGTCTTGTAACGAGGGAGATAGCCTCCCGCCTTTTCTGGCTCTTATTGATTAATGAAATCGGTTTTTTACCTCAAAATAAATAAATAAAATAAATTCAGTTAATTAATTAAAAGTAAAAATCAAATAATGATGTGACACAAATTAACAATGTATTTTTCAAAAGACTAAAGAAATTAACTAATTAGGAATACAAAGAGAATAAAGTATAACGTGAAATGTGAACATAGCGAAATCGAATTAAGCGCTTTATAAGAAATAATAAGTAGATGTGAATACATTTGAAACAAAGTTGAGGGAAGAAACTTCTCATGCTTACAACCATAATTAGCAAAACCTGCTAGAGCATGAGCAATACCATTCCCATTCCCATTCCCGTGTCGTTTAACAAAACTAAAGGGATATTGATTTCCGATCCGATTTTAGTTCTGAATATTTCAATTGTTTTTCGAAATATATAATATAAGGTTATGATATATTTTGTAATTCCATAATATAATTCATGTTATATTTTATGTGAAAAATATAAATATTGAAGGGTCAAGTAAACTTAAACTTGAAAAAAAAAAGATTAATTGGTACAATAAACTCCTTATTGCATTTTTTTCTTTTCATAAAATCTCTATGGTTTTATTAATTGTATTTTGTTGAACTCTCTGTTGGATTTTCTTGCTTGCCGCAAATATTTGAAAAGGATAGCAAATTATTATAAAAATTCCCATTGTATCTGAATTTGGAAAGAAAGATTATAAACTAGGGGCTATTTGACAAACACCCCTCATTGAATTTTGACTTCATTATAAATCCATTTTATTAATTGGTATTTGACATATGTCCATTTAATTCAAATTACCCTAAATGCCCATGTTATACTCTCTCTCCAAAATAACTACTCACAAATCTCAGGCTCATGTTATTTCAGTTTTTTTTCTTATTCTTTTTTTTTCCTAGGAAATATATGTTTTTTTTTATTTCAATTTAAAACAAAATATTACTTTTATTTTATTTCAGTTTTTTTTATTTAGTTTCTTCTCTTTTCCACCAAGTTTAAAAAATATGGTTTTTAACCCTCAATTTTATTATTATTATTATTATTTAAAAAAAAATCAATTTTTTTTTCTTTTCCACTAGGGTTACGGAAATTAAAATTCATCGGAAACTACTACAAATTTATCGAAAACCACTGTCAAATTACCGTAAAATTCACCGTAAAACTAACGTAATCCACTTTAATATTAATATAACCCACAACAAACTTATCGAAATATACTAAAAACATATGTAATCCACTACTAACACAACTGAAAAAATAACAAAAAAATACGTAAATTCAATATTCGAAAATCCACTATTTGAAACGTAAAACACTACTATGTTCACGAAAAAGTGCAGGACCAGTACACCACCACCAACAAGGCCGACGAGGATCACGAAATCAATCTGGACAAGTTAAAAAATAATTAGGCAAATGAAAACTAATTTCCAAAAGCAAACCTTGGTGTCACACCATCGTTGGTGGGAACGAAAATCCAGGAAGTTTTCATAAAAAAATTCTTTCGAACCTACTAATATTGCATAAATCTGTTGAAACGAAAAATGAATGAGCGAACAACAATGAAAACAACTCTTTATAGAAAAACTATATAAACATGAAAACCATTCTATATAAACTGCTATACAAACATGAAAACCACTCTGTATAAATAACTATATAAACATGAAACCACTATGTATAAACAACTATATAAACATGAAAACCACTATGTATAAACATCTATATAAACATGAAAATCACTCTATATAAATAACTATATAAACATGAAAACCACTCTGCATACTTATCGAAATTCATTATAAATATTAGTGAATTGTAAATGACTCACATATACCAAACTATATATCGAAATTTAAAATTGAAATTAGATCCTACATAACTGTTAGGATTTCATGCTTGAAAACCACTATTGAATCAAATATTTTGTTTCAGAAAACAGAACATACTTATTTTTCATCATCATACGAAATAAACAAAGCACATATTCATGGAGAAAAGATAACGACAACCCCATTTAACTACATATAATACATAATGATCCTCGTCTCCCATTTATAAACAAAAAAAATATCATAAAAATTTCATTAAAAAACCAATTTTTACTAGCCCAAAAATCATCAGAACCGACATGAAAGGATAAAATCTTGTTCGTGATAGAAATACTAGAGTTTTCAGATGAAACCAAATATTCATGGATCAAATCGACATAAACAATATTAGGGAATCCCATAAAATATTTACCTGATACAAGAAATTCAAATTGAAGAACAATAATTATACTCAAAATTAAAGAACATAATTCTAAGTTTCGTACGAACATTACCACCAATTATCGAAGAAAACAAATTACCCAATTAAAAGTTGAAAGGCTCCGAAAAAACAATTAAAAATATAAACAAGAAAAAATCAAATTTCTCTATTTTTTTCATATTACCCATACATCTCGTTGACCCACCGCAAAACATCGCCGCCTCTTCCTCCGCCGACTAGGAAGATTGAGGTTGCCGCCCTAGAGGATGAAGGAGCTGCGGTGCTGTCGTGGTGGATGATAAGGAGGCAGACGGAGGCGGTCCATCAGAGCGGTGAAGATGGGGGAGGCGGTGGAGTGAGAGGTCTCACCCTCGGTGAAGGAACCCGAGATTTGGGGAAATAGATCGATAATGAAGAGAGAGAGAGAGAGAGAGAGAGGGGCATAATAGAATATTAGGGTTTCTAGAGAGGCGGTGGGTGTAACCTTTTGGATGAAGGGATCAGATCAAAAAGAGGAATCAATAGTCCAGATCAAAGGTTCTCGAGCATTCCAAGAGATGACCGAGAGAATGGGCTAAGCGCAGATGGGCTTTGTGTTGTTGGGCCGCCTCAAGTGAAGAGGACCAATGAGGAAATAATTCATTTGGGCCATAAAACCAACAAATCTCCACCCGAAACCAAATTTGAGAACTTAAGACATGAATCATCATTGTCGTTTTTTAATATGTTTGGACATACACTCAGTTTTGTTCATTCATATCAGTTTTGTAATCACAAAGAAAACAGGGTAATCATACATATCAAGCAATTTCACACAGAAAAGCTAACACAGTGATGTGACAGTCATACGGATTGTTTGAATTATTATATATTTGCTAAGTGACACAGAAAATGTTTAGGATTTTCAAACAAGAACGCAATTTCTCAACATGCAGACACTTGGTGCCCATATCAGAAGGATTGAAGTATGATGAAATCTTTTCAAGATCAATTAACCCTTTTTCCACAATATCTATGATAAAGTAAGACTTCACATCAATATGCTTTGTTCTATAATGGAAAACAAGGTTTTTGCACAGTTGTATTCCAGATTGACTATTAAAATAAACAACTACTTTTTTTTGTTCAGAAATCCAATTTCAAAAATTCAACATTACAACCAAATTGCCTCTTTCAAGCCTTTAGTTGCAACACTGTATTATGTTTCAGTGGTTGACAAGGCTACAATGTTTTGCAATTGTGATTTCCAACTAATGCAAGAAGCACATAATGTGAACATATAAGAGGTAGTGGATTTTATGTTATCTTTGTCTTTAACAAAATTGGAATCAACATTTCCATGGAGTTCAACATCTTCAGAACACTTAGCAAACATAATTTCAGTATTCACAAAACCTTTCACATACTTGAGAAGCCCTTCAGGGCTTCTCCAGTGAGGCATACCAGGATGGCTTGCAAGTGATAAAAAGAAGCAGAGGAGTTTGAGAAAACTCGACTTTGATGCTAGGAAATACAACACATGTTGCTCTATCAACCATACACATAGGAAGGAAAGAAGTTTGATGCCCGCATGTGTATAGCTCAACTGGTTCCGGGATGGTAAGTTGGTGCAAGTCTGATGATCGAATACATACAGCCGCATTGGGGGAATTTCAACTCCAATGAGGGTTTTTTCCTTGCGGACACCAAATTCGGGTCTGCTACCCTAACGGGTCCACTACTCCAATTTCAACTCTAATGATTCCTATTTCTAACGCCTTTTCTTTAATGTTCTATTTGAATCAACCCGAACTTTGTTGTTTCCTTTTGTTAACTAAAACTATTTTTCTCTGGATAAGCTGTGAAGCTTTTGAAGAAGCGCATCGAAGTTAAAAAGGACGAGTTTTCGTCAACAGAGATCGAAGCACTATTTGATTCGGGGCCAATTTTAAGAGGAGGCGGAGTCGGTGGTCGCCTTGGGCCTCTCTGATTTTTTTATTTAAGGCTCCTAAATTGTTTTATACCCTTTATATATTAGCATTTATTCAAATATATATATATATATATGCAAAAAGTACCCCTGTGTAATTCGTATCTGCCAAAAACCCGCAAATGATAAAACAAATAGCAAAAACTCCCCTATGTAAAAATTTAAATAGCTCACTGCACCCACTATAATCTTGGGCATTGACTGAACGTAAGAAGACAAAGATACCCTCCAATAAAATAGTGTAAGATCAGATAACTTAAAATAGGGGGCAAAAGTACAATTTTGGTAAACATGTAAAACTTAAATTAGGGGATTGAATTGCAATTTTCCCACATATTCAATAAAACCAGTCTTCTTCTCCAAAATCCGTCGTTTACCACGGAGATTCCTCATAGAGTCATAAAGCTCTTCTGATAACTCGAACTCGGAATTGCTTACTGCAGCAAGGCTGAGATCATTTGATTCGTTCTTCTTTACTGGTGTTTCTTTGCTCAAGTTTGAACATTATTTTTTGTTCTTAATGAGACAGAGAGGGAGAGGACCTGGTGTGTGTGTATATATATACATACATATATTTTTTATTTTATTTTCAATCCCAAATTTGTAGCACCAAAATTGGGTGATTACTACGAGGAGGCAATGATTGCACAAAAATACAGAGAGATTGTGTTCTTCAATTCTATTTGGAAATCAGAGATATCTTGGAGTTTCATGCTGGATATGTGTGTTCTATTTGTGAGTGAAGAAAGATGATGGTGGTGGTTTGGGGGGCAGTTATGTCATTTTCATAAGCAAAAATGAACAAAAAAAGATCACACAAGGAGCGAGTGTAACACACATTCTCGTACAAAGGGGTTTTTTGCCTTTGACTTTTTTACACGGGCGACTTTTGCTAGTTTTTTTATCAAGGGGGTTTTTGGCAAATAAGAATTACAAAGGGGTACTTTTTGCACATTACTCATATATATACATATATATATATATATATATATATATATATATATATATATATATATATATATATATATATATATATATATCATGATTTAGAACTTGTTGTAAAATGGCCTATTTTTTTTTTTGTTTTGACGATCGTGGTTAATGTAGTAGAGTATAATTGAATATATATGTTTTATTGTCTCATATTTTCTCCAGGCTTTCACACATATGTATATAAAAGAGCAGTACGTGGGAACGAGTTTTGGTGTGCCTTTTATCGAGAGATTTTTTCAAAGAAAATATTTCTGCTCGTTTTTATTTAGCTCTAGACGTGAAGTTTATCTTGTAAGATTAAAGAGCTTAAAAGATCACGGGAGGAGATCGACCCGTCAACTCAAAGAAATCAACGTTGAAGGGAGCTTAATCATACGGAGTGGTGGACATACTGCATGGTGAAGATCACAATTTCAAGTATCATACAAGAACGGCGTCAACAAAGAAGGAATCTCTAGTTTTGAATAAGCCCAACTATTGTACTCGTAAAATTGAAATCAGTTAATTCTTGTTTGCAGGTAGGTCCCTTTGGATTAGGATACATTTGTATCTGAATCGCGTAAATAATTGTATCTCGTTTTAATTATATTTTACAAACTGTTACATGTCTTACAACAACAGTATCGAAAAACTGAATGCGACACAAATAATAATAATTGCAGGTAAATAAAGCTAACATCACCAATTTGTAAGTGTGAGGCAACAAATGAATATTAAATGGGAAGATTCTTCTTGGTGATCAGCTATTGTCATGACACAGCTGTAATGCTAATTGTTAAACCCCAAAAATCGCGGTAGTTGTTCTTAACAAATATATAAATACATTAGAAAATAAAGAGAAATCAACAAATATTTAAATTTTAACAAAAATAATGCAAATATTAGTAGTTCCTTTCCTTTTATATTTCTTTTGCAAGAGAAGAGCCAAAATTTCAAACTCCAAAAGTGATCCCAAGAAAAGTACTTTCTCTCTCTCTCACACGCACACAGAGAGAGAAAGAGAGGTGTTAGTGCGAAATGGGTTCTTATGCTGCTGTAATATCCCTTTACCAGACACTGAATCGCATTTCCGCATCCGATGATTTTCTTTCTAAATCAGACAAGAATCTTATCCTTGATGAAATGGATTCAGTTGTTGAAAAAATGGGGCTGATTCCCAGCAGCAAGATAGTTGTTGCAGCATCTTATGAAAGACGAGTGATAGATGCTCTCCAAATATTCCAAGATGTTATCCACTCCCACTTGTCTGATCCAGATCATCATGACATTCGTTTTGCTTCGTCGCTCGGAATAGTCAAAGAAGAAATTGCATCGTTTCACACAGCAACTGATGAAGAAGAACAGAGCTGCAGCAGCAGCAGGTATTCTAATTTTGCTTCTTCATATTATAATACTTGGAATCAACAACAGAATCTTCTCGTGGGATTCGATGACCAAATTAAAGAATGGTTTTTCGATCCCAATTCCCATGACATAGTTAAATCAGTTGTGGGCATGACCGGAATCGGTAAGACTAGTCTTGTTCAACAATTTTACAACGACCCGGTTGTTATACAAGAGTTCGAAGCTCGTTTATTTCTGCACATCGGCCCAGGCTATACTCGATGGAAAGATATTATGCTGCTTGTTCTTGGTGAACTTGGCTTCGTCATCCCTTCTAGGGATGATAAACTAGACACGGCTTATTTGAAGAATCAATTTTCAGAGGCTTTATCTACTCAAAAGTATCTAATTGTCTTAGATGATGTATGGGCTGACGACACTGATCTAGTACCTCGTGGTTTTCCAGAAAACAGAAAAGGAAGTCGCATCATCGTCATATCGCAGATCCAAAGATTATACGACTTCATTTATACAGACGAGTCTATTATATTACCGTTTCTCAACGACGACGACAGTTGGAAACTACTTCATCAGACCGCATTTAGTAATACAGAGGAGAAGTGCAGTCGAGAACTTGAGAAAATTGGGAAGAAGATTGCCAAGAACTGTGAAGGACTCCCTGCAGCAATTATACAGGTTGGAGAGAATCTACGTGGAAAATCTTTTGAAGAATGGAAGACGTTATCAGAAAAAGAAGATCCACTCGTCATCACAAGATATGACGATACGCCACTCTCAAAAGCACTATTTTTTAGTTACATGATGTTGCCTCAGAATTTAAAGCCATACTTTCAGTATATAGGTGTGTTCCCAAAACATTATGGGATTTCTCGATCAAAGCTCATTAAATTATGGGTGGCTGAGGGCTTTCTGGATACATACCCGGGGTTTGAAAAATCAGCCGGAGACACCTTGGATCTACTTATTCGGCATAGTGTTATTTTGAGAGAAAAGCAGGCCTCTGTCAATATGTCTAGATTTAAGAGCTGTAGACTGCATTTCACCTTTCGAAGTCTATGTGTTAGTGAAGCTAAGAGTGAAAAGTTTTTCCATATCCTGAAAAAATACACCGATTGTACTCCAGAGAACATCATAAGGCAGCAGCGTTTGTGCGTCCACAATAATGTTGTTCTTGCTTTAACACAAGTTCATGAATGGATGGAATCAGTTCCGAATGCACGATCTTTTCTGTGTTTCGGTCCAAAACAACAATATCCAGTATTGTTGCCCCTGTGTTTTAGATTGCTCAAGGTACTAGATGCACTTGCGATCCGCTTCTACGAGTTCCCACATCAACTACTTGCATTACTTCACTTGAGGTATCTTTCCATCACGTGTGATAGAGAGCTCCCCAACTCCATATCCACACTTCGGAACCTCAAGGTATTGATTTTCACTCGGTATCATAACATCAAATTGACGAATAATGGTCCAGTTTATCTGCCTATAGATATCTGGAACATGCATAAACTGAGGCAACTTTATTGCAAGGGCTTCGACCTCCCACCTCCTCCTTCAAATGATTCTCATCTTGTGCTTGAGAAGCTTCTAACAGTCTCAGGTGTGAGTGTTCACAGTTGTATCACAGAGGTGCTTTCAAGAATCCCCAATTTGAACAGAATAGCCGTTCAGATTGAGTCAGCACACGACTCAACCGAAACCTTCAATTTTTTCAATCATGTTGCGTCTCTCTTCGAGGAATTTGAGTCATTCAAATGTGTCGTTGTAAATCCAAATCTGAGCTCTCAAATTGTTCGTTCAGTTCCGAACTTTCCTATGAACATTAGGAAGATAAGCCTGAGTGGATGTGGATTGCCTTGGGAGAATATGGAAATTATTGCTTCATTACCGAATCTTATAGTGCTCAAACTGCGATGGTATGCCTTTTGCGGCCCTCTGTGGAAAACCAGAACAGGACAGTTCCCCAGGCTGGAGTTCTTGCTGCTGGAAGACTTGGATATAGAGAACTTGGAATTTGACCGTCGATACTTAAGGTGGGTGATTGTTAGGCATTTCTATAAATTGGAAAACATCTCGAATCAATTCGAGTACACCAAACTACTAGAGGTAGATGATTGCAGCCCATCCTTTATGAAGAAAATGCGCGAGTGGCGATCCATTTTTCGTACAAAAGCTAAAATACGTTCTTCAAGTACTGATCTATAAAGGTAATTAATGCTCGTCAAATCTATGTGAATTTTTTTTATGGTCAATTCAATGGTAATATTTAGATGATCATTTCCTATCAATTTCTCCAACTTTGACTAGGACTATATTTCTCTTTCTCTTTTTGTCAACACGAAAATACTCTATTACAAAAAAGAGTATTGGCCTTTATAATAAATTTTCTTGGTTTAGAAAACTAGCAAAAACTATTGCATTCTATTTCACTGACCTGCAGTCTCTACAAAGTGTTTCGAACCATTGAGCCCTTGAAACTCGAAAGAACGAAGATGTATACTCTAAAGAATGATACCAAAAAATCAGTGGCGTTTTAGTTATATTGTATTTTTCATCCTATAAACATTTTTCAGTTCATTAACCATTATATATCTACCAGAGCAATCCTGTGTTGATTTTCAACTTAGCTGCACGGTGAATTTTGCTTTTTCCTCGGTGAATTTTTGGTAAGCTTGATCCTTGAAAACATTGAAGAGAGGTTTTGATTGATTTTTCTGTATCTGTGCAGGATTATAATAAATTCCAAATGGCTAATCGTGTGTTGCTCGGCGATTGAAAAGCCTCAACTATTCAAATGAAGATGAAGATTCCTATACGGCAAGTGTGGCAAAATTTCAAAGCTTTCATAAAATTGTTTATGATTTGATATTTTCCAGTTTTTGTAAACTTTTTTTTTTTTTTTTGGGTGATCATTGAAACTTATGGTTTGGATATTTTCTTGATTTATTCGTGAGGCCATTCTTATAACGTGAAAGGTAATTAATTTTACATAGTTTTTACTTTTGCAATGGCTGGAAATAAAAAAAAGTGTGATGGATTGAGTATATCAAACGATTGTTGAATGTGAAATGTACCTCCCTGTAAGTTGTTAATGAATATGGTTAAGGTATGAAAGCTCATTTCAAGCTCAAGTTCAACTCGTAACTCGACTACAACAAAAATTATAAAATATGTATAAAAAGAATTAGGTTACTCAAGACCAAGACATATGTGTATTTATATATTTATTATTTTTTTCTAAAACTCATGAATGAAAATTTCCAGAAAGCTTAACAAAATTCAGTTATACTAATTGTGTTAAAGATTCAATCTAGAGAATCTAGAATGTGCTATGGATTCGTGCGCTCGATTGATTGGGTAAAGGAAGCAGAGTATAATACCGTTTTGTCAACAAGACAGGGTAATTTTGTTTGGATATATAAGTTTCTTTCTTTCTTTTTCTGAACGGAGGACATATTTGTAATCAACGTCTCTAAATTTTGAGCTAATCTCTGAATTTATATAATGGATTTAGAATTTTGTTTACATTTTTGCACGAGCTCTATTACGGTACATGCAGTGGCGAGTCCACCCCTTTGGGAAGGTGGACTCAAGGGCCCAAGGCCAACCTTAAATTACTAAACTTTACCCCATATTATACATATATATATCTATTAAGTCCACCCAATATTTATTAATTAGCCCACTCAAAATTCAAATTAATGCAAAACAAAGCCCCAGTTATTATTAATTAGTCTACCAAAAATTCAAAATTATGCAAAAAAGCCCTTTTTTTCTTCCCTTTTTCTTTTCCTATTTTTTGATTGTCACAAAGAAGTCCTAAATTTTTTCAGGTACAAATTTATATTTCGTATATATCTTATGCAGTGATAATTACCCTTTTGGTCCCTATACTTACCACCCAAAATCATTTTTGTCCTCAAACATTTTATGTCACGGTTTTTGTCCTCAAACTTAACAATTTTTAACAATTTTGGTTCGCCCGTTAGATTTGATTTTAAGTTGGATGGAGTCAGTCACATGCGCCTCACATAACATCCATTTGGCAGACAAAACATGAGCTGGAAGACAGCTAATCACTCCTCTCATTCTCTCTCCCCTAATTTCGTAACCCGGTAAATGATTTTATTTATTTATTACTATGGTCTCATGTCCAGAACTGGAAATATATATAGATCAAGAGATAGAAAGAGAGAGAAAACCACGTGCAATTTTTGATAACATATCCCCAACTGCAGACAAACTCTATCGAATATGCTCAATCAACTATTTATTTGGTGGATGATGAAATTGAGGTCAGCAATCAGGTGGATGACAAAACTGAATAAATGAATTGAAAAGAAATTTCACATCACTTCCATTTCATACTCTACTCAACCAAAAATAAACAAATGTTATATTTTATTGGAAACAATTAATATTAAAAAAAAAAAAAAAAAAGGGAGAGAATCGACAAATAGAAGAAACCTAGATGCATTTTCATCAAAGAAGTTGCGGAAAATTTCCTATCCAACCAGGTTGATGAAATAAATGTGTATAAATCAAACTTGCAATGTCTTGTCAAGAATCTTAATCCATGGTCCAAGATGACTGTTTTGAGGTGAATTTGGGGGTTTACATAGGGTTTTGAGTTAAGTAATCCGTGTCTTCCAGCTCATTTTTTGTTTGTCAAATGGACGTCACGTGGGGCGCACTAAAATTTGATGCCCAACTAAAATTATCAAAAAGTGGCAAGTTTGAGAACTAAAATTGTGGCGAAAATGTGTAAGGACAAAATCGTTTTATGTGTTAAGTATAGGGACAAAACGTGTAATTATCCCTCTTATGTATAAAAGAAAAAAATGGTGTTTTTTTAGGGGTTAAAATATCATATTACACATTAGAGATAATTCTCATTAGGCAATTAAGTGATAATTATATTTACTAAAATGATTTATGAAGGATTAAAATTACAAATACCGTTCATTTTTTTCTTGACTTTCTCCCTCTAAAACCACCAAAACCCCCAAAAGCCCCAAAACTCAAAAAACCCACAACAATTCTCACAAATCCACCTAAATCCGTAAATCTCTCTAAAATTAAAGGTAATTTTTCATTTAAATTAGTCATATGCATTTAATTTGTGGTTAATTTGGTGTTAATCATGTGGAAACCCCCAATAAATCGCGTTTTGGGGGGTTATTTTGCTGATATTGCGCAATTTCCACTCCCAAAACGAGCGTGTGAAATTCGTTTACACGCCCAAAATGGGCGTGAAAACTATTTTGGGGGTGGAAATGGAGGAAGGACACCTGGTTTAGGCGTGGACCGGAGGTTTGGGCGCCCTGTCCAAGCATGCAAACCCCTGACCGGCAGTTGGACCGGTCATCCGGTTCGGTATCTATTTTTTTTAATTTATTCAGTTAATTAAAATATTTTGTTTTTATTTCATTCATCAGCTAATTAATTTGTATTATCGGCAGTACTACTTTTTTTTAGAGTTTATTTTAATTATCGACATACTGCTATTTGTTCGTATATGTTTTTTTTTAATTATGGTCGGATTACTCTTTATTTTATGTTTTTTATTTTACATAAGCATCAAACAAATATATTACATCGCATCAAACAACACAGAACTACATGAAAAGAAAATACATCAACAATTGTTTAGAATGGGAATAAACATTAACCAATACAAGAACTACATAAATAGAAAATACATCAACAATTGTTTAGAATGAGAATAAACATCAAACAATACAAGAACTACATACAAAGAAAATACATCAACTACTGTTTATATTGTCTCACGCTCGACGTCTACCCCGCCAATATCTCGTCAAAATCTATAAACTTATCCCTCAAGTCATATAATTTCGTTACTATAAAATGCTCACTATGATCAACTTCAAACATAAAAGAATTTTGTTGCTCTTCCTGAAATAACTACGAAACAAAATAACGTTAAAAGAGTATTAGAAAAAAAAAAAAGAAAAAAGAAAAAAAAAACTGCAAAAGTGGTTGGCGCCCAAATGGGGCGCGAAAAACAGTGTTGCGTGCCCAAACCGGGCACGAAAAGGCCGACTGGGCGCCCACTTTGGGCGTGGATTGGTTTTTTTTGCGTCCAGTTTGGGCGTGAATCATTTTTCAGAACCCATTTTGGTCGTGAGTCACGTTTTCCCGATTTATAGAACAAAAATGAACAAATTTTACCTCATTGGATTGTGTATCTCGATCCTCATCCGATGCACTCATTTTCCTTTGTTAATCACTAAAATAAGATGGGTTTCAGGACGATTTCTTATATAAAAGCTTGAGAGAAATTTTTTTCTAGAGAGAGAGAAAGAGAGGTAGAGTGAATTATTGTAAACCTTATTCATAAAAATGTTACCACAAATATCAAGTCCCTAGTATTAATGGACGTAACGTCTTTATATAAATTTGAGCCCAATTTCATGGTCATTCCTTGAGATTTAATGACATCATTGATTTACAGTTAATTGAGGCATATTATGGATGATAAAGAAGAAGATTCGTCAAACTTCTATCTTAACATGGATAAGATAAATATACAACCATATTACATCAATTATATAGAGTTAAATTAATAAATATGGGGAAAAAAGTTTATAGATAAAGGTTTATCACTAATACATATAGCAAAACATCATCAAAATGAATTGAAATCTTAATTTTGTCGTTTAAATTGAACTTTCGCCTTTGTTAATTTTACTCCATTCACATGCATCGCACATGACAAAAATCTAGTATTTATAAGATAAATATAACAAAAATAAGTACATTTAAACTACAATCGAAGACATACAAAGGTACATTTAATGCAAGAATATTGAACAAAAAATTCCACCAAATAGATTGTCCATATGGAGAGGACAAGGCTCTAGAAATTCACATAAGTTAAATATTTGACTCTATCCAAAGACTAAACAAGGAAAAACTATTTATATTAAATTAAACATTAACTTCCAAATAACTAAATAGAATTTCCCAATTAGGAGTAGTGAGGAAACCCTAACTATGATCCGCTCTTAAAGCAACTGTTGAACGAGAAAAAATAGAAGGAAGGCGGTGGAGAAAAGAGTTAAGGTAAAAAAAAAAAAGAAAAAAAACAGTGAAGAGCAACGGCGGAGATGGGAGGAATGAAATCGCCGACAAAGATCTGCTCGGCGGCTCTACATCTGGTCGTCGGGACCAAATCTCGTCATTAGAGAAATATCGATCGAGAGAGAAGGATAGAAAACTAGTATGGCTAGAGTTAAAAGGTGTTGAATATGACATTTGCTGTATAATCATACTATATAATTTAAATAATTAAATTCCGGATTTATCACAAAAACAAAAAAAAAAACAAAAAAAAAACAAAAAAAAAAATTGGATCAATACTAAATGCAAAAGACATTTAGAGGAGTTTTCTCAAATAATCCCTTAATAGAATTGTCATTAGTTGGATAATATTTTATATAAAATGGATAATTAGTGAAAACCCCCTAATTCATTTACTTATATCAAGGTGGATATAACATCCTTTTCATTAGTGAGAACCCCCTTAATTATTTAATTAAATTATTATTAATACAATTATTAAGTGTTATACCTATATTATCCCTAATTACCAAATCTTATATTTACAAACCCAACCCATATTGTCTGCAACAAACCGCCGTTCTCTAATCGCCATCATGTCTTTTCTTCTTTTCTGGAACTGAAATTCAGTAGTATCGGCTCGGATGGTGTTAAGTGTATATTTATACACTTAATTATACCTTTTAATTGGAGCTTTTGGTGTGTTTTTACGATAATTGGTGCTTAATTTGGTTATTATTTGTATTTTAGGTGCAAATTGAAGAATTGACAACTTTTGGGGTGAAAACTGCAAATTCAGAGAAAAAGTGGGCCAAAAGTGAAAAAAGCAGATTTCTGAAGAATTAAAAGACCGCACGGCCGTGCGGATTTTAGTTCAAAATCTCACACGGCCGTGTGAGTGGACGTGATGGCGCAGTGAAGGGAACTCAATTATACAAGGAAACCCGCCCTATTAGATTTTTGCACCATATTTAAAGGCCACAAGCACACAATTAGACCTATCTTTTGAATCTTTTACCTTTCATCTTTATTTGAGTTTTTAGCTTTTATCTTTCGACACGCAATCAAGGAGCAAGAACGAAGACGAAGACTTGACGACTCTTCATTATAGTTCTTCTCTTTTATTGTTTTTATGATTTTTCGTATTTTCATTATGTTTTCCGTAACGAACATGAGTAGCTAAGTTTTTATTCTAGGATTTTATTGGAACCCTATGTGGTGATTCGAACCTCTTTTTCGACTTTTATGCAAGTTTAATTCTTCGATTATTTCCTCTATCTTGATCTTATTTAGTGCATGAGCGTAGCTAACTTATGTTGCTAGTTGTTATTGTTAGAATTGATTGACAGATCGTTTTAATAATTAGAACAGGGATAGGAGAACCTTCGAGTAGTTTTTCACCGAATGCGTGTGTTAATTGCATGTATTATCGTAGACATACAGATAATACCTTAGGTAGCCGTTTGCGAGACTTGTTATTTAATGCTTTATTTATATTAGGTTTGCATAGACATATAGTGAATCTTTTATGAATAATAGGTTTATAGCGCAGCGACAGCTGGTTATGAATAATTTCGTGTCTTGGGTTAATAATCGGGAATCGTAACTTGCATAATAGGAGATTAGTTGGGTGAAGAATTATCGCATAGGGGGAAGATAAAATCCTAGATCCGTTTATTATTGACTTTTTCTCGTGATTACTTGTTTTCTTAATTATTTTAATTTTATTAGTTAATTAATTTGACAACCTTGCGTAGGCTGGATAAAAATCACAATTGTTAGGATTTGGTACTTAGGATTAAATAATTTGCGTATTCCCTGTGGGATCGACATCCGACTCTCACGAGTCTACTTTACTACTTGTTTGCGATACGTACACTTGCGTGTTGGTATTTAGCACCCAACAAGTTTTTGGCGCCGTTGCCGGGGAATACGGCTAAATTATTTATTTATCCTAATATTAAATTTGAGCAATTTTTCTTACTTCAGCCAATTTTTTTTATTTTATTTAATTATTTTTTTATTTTTGTTTTAGGTACTTTTTTATGCGAAGAGGACACGACACGAGCCTGCTACCTCTTGACCCCGAAATTGAGCGAACGTTTAGGCAAGCCAGGAGAAATCAACGGTTAGCCCAAAACACTCCAGCAACGATGGAAGACGAGAATAATCGTGGGAGAGGTGACCAAGGGCATCTACCGAATGCAGTGAGGGAAATCATCAATGAACAAGAACAACGCCAGCTAATTAATCCACCACCTCGTCAACGAGCACTGCATGAGTACACCGTTCCAACGCTAAATGGATTTCAATCAAGCATCCAGCAGCCCCCCATTGAAGCCAATAATTTCGAAATTCGAGCGGGACTCCTCACGATGCTCCAAAACAACGGTTTATTCAGCGGATTGGCTCATGAAGACCCACATCTCCACTTGGTCAACTTTCTAGAGACGTGTGATTCGCACAAGATGAACGGAGTAACACCCGAAGCACTGCAACTCCGCCTGTTCAAGCACTCCTTACAAGGAGCAGCCCGAGAATGGTTGCAAACTCGCGCACCGCACTCCATCTCGTCTTGGGCCCAGCTAGCGCAACTTTTCATGAACACATACAACTCCCCAACAAAAACTGAGAGAATCCGGAGAGAAATTCAAAATTTCATACAAGAAGCCGGGGAAGCACTATTCGAGACGTGGGAGCGGTTCAAGCAGCTAGTAAGGAGGTGCCCGAATCACGGACTTCAAGAGTGGCGCCAATTGCAAATATTTTACGATGGATTGCAAGACAACTCGAGAACCGTGCTTGATTCGGCAGCTGGAGGTATGTTCATGAGTTTGACCTACGACGAAGCATACGAGCTCTTGGAACGAATCGCTAGGAACAAATACATGCGGGCTTCGGACCGGTCGAATAGCGGAGCAGTCAAGACGGGAGGAATTTTGGAGTTAGACGGAGTCACTGCAATCACGGCCCAATTGGAGAAGCTATCGAAGCAAGTAGCGGCTTTGCAGACACAGCAAGTCCATGCAGTCCAAGCTCCCGATCAAGGCGTAGACGAAACGGAGTCGATAAATTATGTGAATGACGCCAACCGACAACACAGAAACCCGTACTCCAACACGTATAATCCGGGATGGAAGGATCACCCTAATTTTGGGTGGGGAGGAAATCAGCAGGGACAAAGGCAAGCACCCCCTCAAGGCCAACCGCCTAATTATTCACGACCAGCGCCCGGATTCCAAAATCAACCGCAAGCACCACCTCAAGGCGGAGACCTCGCAAATATTTTGGCCCAATTTATGACGACCACCCAAGCTTCCATTCGAAATTTGGAAACACAGATGGGCCAATTTGCGACCCAATTGAACGCGAGGCCAGCCGGTACACTACCGTCCAATACGGAAGACCCTCGAAAGGGCACCAACGAGCAGTGCAAAGCCGTAAGTTTGAGGAATGGAAGACAATTAGAAGAAGTGGCAAAGAAGGCAACAAGCAAGGATGGAGAGGAGCAACAAGAAAAAGAAGCAGAGATTCTGACAGATTCACCAGGTGAAAAAAGGGTCGTTGCTCCTAAGCCGACCCCTCAGGTACCTTATCCTCAACGCCAGATAAAGGCGAAAAATGAGTCGTATTACAAAAGTTTTCTTGAGCAATTGAATGAATTACATATTAATATTCCTTTTACTCGAGCGCTTGAACTAATGCCTCATTGGGTGAAATTTTTGAAAGACATGGTATCAAAGAAACGAAAATTCGGTGAACATGAGATGATAGCGTTAACCGAACAATGCAGTGCCATTCTTACGCGCCCAATTCCACCAAAGCTTGGAGACCCGGGTAAGTTTACGATTCCAGTCGCTATCGGAGGTAAGTTCTTTGCAAAATCTCTCATAGATTTAGGTGCAAGTATTAATCTCATGCCTTTCTCGGTTTTTCAAAGTTTGGGATTAGGAGATATAAAATTGGTATCTGTGACGTTACAGTTAGCCGATAGATCACTCATATACCCAAAGGGAATAGTAGAGGATGTGTTAGTTAAAGTAGATAAATTCATCTTTCCTGCAGATTTTGTAGTTCTTGATATGGAAGAAGATAAAGAAATTCCCTTGATTTTGGGAAGACCTTTTTTGAGAACGGGTAGAACTATAATTGATGTGTATAACGGAATTTTATCTATGTCTTTGGGGGATGAAACGATTAAATTTGATGTTTTCCGTACAATGAAACACCCTCAAGAGGTTGATGAATGCTTTGCTTTTGATGTGTTAGATCAATTGAATTTTGATTTTGTTGAACCTTTAATTGCGGATCCGTTGGAAGCATCTTTGTGTGTAGGAACATCAGTTGAAGAAGAAGAAGTGACGGAACAATTATGTTGGTTGGATTCGGCAAAGCCGTTGCCAAGACCACGCTTTGAGAGTTTGGAGACAGAGATCCCGTTATCTGTCACTTTTAAGCCTTCAGTGATCGAACCTCCGAAACTTGAGCTTAAAGTTTTACCATCTCATTTAAAATATATGTATCTTGGAGCTCATGAGACCTTACCTGTTATTATTTCTTCATCTTTGACAGGTCTACAGGAAAAGAGACTTTTGGAGGTATTGCGAGAGCATAAGCTAGCACTTGGATGGACAATCGCCGACATCAAGGGCATAAGTCCAACTTTTTGCATGCACAAGATCATATTGGAGGAGAGCCATAAATCTTCGGTGGAACAACAGAGGCGATTGAACCCCATCATGAAGGAAGTTGTGAAGAAAGAAATCATCAAGTGGCTAGACGCAGGTATTATTTTTCCTATCTCCGATAGTGCGTGGGTTAGTCCGGTACAATGTGTACCCAAGAAGGGGGGAATGACTGTTATAAAAAACGAAAAAAATGAATTAATCCCTTCTAGGACAGTAACGGGTTGGCGAATTTGCATGGATTATAGAAAATTGAATAAAGCCACTCGAAAAGATCACTTCCCGTTGCCCTTTATTGATCAAATGCTTGATAGGCTAGCTTGTCAAGAATTTTATTGTTTTTTAGATGGGTATTCCGGTTATAACCAAATTGCCATAGCTCCCGAGGACCAAGATAAAACCACTTTTACTTGTCCTTTTGGTACCTTTGCTTTTAGACGAATGCCTTTTGGTTTGTGCAATGCTCCTGCTACTTTTCAACGTTGCATGATGGCAATTTTTACGGACATGGTTGAATGTGGTCTTGAAATTTTTATGGATGATTTTTCTGTTTTCGGTGATACGTATGACACTTGTCTCCAAATACTGGCTAAGGTTCTTCGCAGGTGTGAAGAAACAAACTTGGTGCTCAACTGGGAAAAGTGCCACTTTATGGTGCAAGAGGGGATTGTGCTAGGACACAAGGTGTCAAAGAAGGGGTTAGAAGTCGATCGAGCAAAAATCGAGACAATCGAGAAACTACCGCCACCAATTTCCGTAAAGGGAATTCGAAGTTTCTTGGGACATGCGGGATTCTATAGGCGGTTCATCAAAGATTTCTCCAAGGTGGCCAAACCATTGTGCAATTTGTTGGAGAAGGATATCAAATTCGATTTCAATGACGAATGTCTCAAGGCCTTCGACGACTTGAAAACAAGGTTAGTAACTGCCCCTATTATTGTTGTGCCCGATTGGAATGAACCTTTTGAGCTTATGTGTGATGCCAGCGATTTTGCGGTAGGTGCCGTGTTAGGTCAAAGAAAGAATAAAATTTTTCATTCAATTTACTATGCTAGTAAAACTCTCAACGATGCACAATTGAATTATACCAGCACTGAAAAAGAGTTGCTAGCAGTTGTTTTTGCATTCGAAAAGTTTAGATCATATCTTATAGGCACCAAAGTCATG